GTGATTAAAAATGAATTTAAAAAATGAGGACCATACAAGCTTTAGAATATCTCCAAAAGACTCTAAACGTGAAATGTAGTTATTATAAAGAATCGACCTTTAAAATCATGATCCAAGAGACTTTTTAAATTAACTGCATTTAAAGTGTTTCAATTTTTAATGTAGGAAAATAATAAAATAATCTAAATAAAAGTTAGTTGAAATAAAATATAGAGAAAAATAATAAATATTTTTTAGAGTAGTAAAATTAAGTGTTAAATATAAACAATTTGTTAAAGTACTTCAAAATTTTAATTCTTTAAATTTATTTATGGTTTGCATACGATAGAATATGCGCTTTAAAAATAGAGAGTATGTTGGAGATGCTCTTAGTATATTTTAAAGCAAAATTTTGAAACTTTGAGCTAGCTTTGTTGAAATTATAGTATTATCCTTTAGGGTGTGTTTGATTACATTTATAAAATTTAAATGTAAAGAAAATAAGCTAGGCAATTGAATTGACTATAAATTATTAATTAAATGTATCTGATTGGTTTAATTTTCAATTTATAAAATGTTATACTTGTCCATCTTTTATTGATAGTAGATGAGAGAAAGGTTGGTGGAGGGGGGGAGAGAGAGAGAGAGAGAGAGATGATTAAAAAAAAAATCTACCACTCACCAAATAAAATATTTTTCTTCTTTTTGAAAAAAATATAGTCACGTGACCAACTTTAAAAAAATATTTTTCATGTAAAAAATGTTAATCAAATAGTTCAGAAGTAAGAACTTGGATGGTAAAATGACATTTTTCATAAAAAATAAAGTCAATCAAGCACACATAATATTTTAAGATTTACAAAAACCTTTCTAATTAGCATAAAGTATTCATTTTGAGAGTTTCTCGTGTTTATAATATTATTTGTTTCTCATTTTCACAAATTTTATAAATCATAACTTATTTACGATCACAAATTATCAAAATAATTTGATCACAAATTATCGAATTAGTTGATCACAACTTACAAATTTCTGAGTCACGATTCTAAATTCAATCAAAATTACATATTTATTTAAATCAAGTATTATTTATTGGTCACAATAGCTAAATAATTGATCGCAAACACTCTTTGTCCCACACTTCATTGTCACTACCGCTACCAACGCCAACGCCAACGCCAACGCCACAACCACAACTACTATCTCTACCACCACCTGCACAACCATTGCAATCACCACCCAAAAAACAACCACCCACCCATAGAAATCTGTACATCGACGATGTCACCACTATTACCACGCCATAATTGCCATCTCTAGCACCAACTACATAACCATCCATAAACAACTACCAACAACCATCCACAGAAACCTGCATAGAAAATGGTGTCATTGTGCTGCGTGGTAACAACGTATTACGCACCATTGTGAGCGTCGCTGTAATGTGACCATCGGATCAGAGATTCAGAGTTAAGAAATCTTATTGAACCCAAATTCGGACCCTGTACTGAAGTTGAACTCTAGCAGACTTTTAGATTAGGTTAGCATGAGGTTAAGAGTTTGAAATGGGTTGGTGATGTTGGGCTTGCCGTTGCTGTGGATTTCACTCCACCGTCTTCCTCCAGTCAAATTGTGTAGCCAAACACCAAGCAACACCACAACAAAGACCTATTCACGAGCACAACAAACACCAACACCACACTAAAAACATTGCACCAACATCACACCATCGTGTCGCAGCTGCTTGAAGCATTCGCCACTATTTCGTGTATACAGTAACACCCCATTCACCGCTGCATTTCATGAGCAGCTGTGATGGCTCCCCATTGTGCACGAACTGCAATGACACTAGACACTACGTGTTGCACCTGTTGTGGGTGCGCATGCACAATGAAGATTCGTCGGACAATGAGTAGGTGACGACGTGTCAGGAATAAAGGGGTGAAGAAATATTTGTGAAAAGGGTAATTAGCACAAAACGTCCGTACCTTTCATTTTTTGGCGGATTACACCCTCACATTTACATTTTTTTGCACAAAACGTCTTTCTGTCAACTATCCGTTAAAATGTTCCGTTAAATCAAAAGGTAATTAGCACAAAAGGTCCCTACTTTTCAATATTATTGTACAAAACGTCCCCACCTTTCATTTTTAGCATAATTAACACAAAAGGTCTCTACCTTTCAATGTTATTATGCAAAAGGTCCCTACCTTTCATTTTTTTAGCATTTCACCCCTACCTTTCACCTTTCATTGCGAAAAAGGTCATTCTTATCCATTTTTTCAATAAAATAACGATTTTACCCTCCTATTCAAATAAAACAAAAAGAAAAGAAAAGAAAAATAATTAATTAATTAATTGTAATCATAGTCCTAAATCTTTCAAAACATTACAGATAAATTCTAAACTTTCCACTACCGTCACTTTCATAACCCTACCAAGCCACCACCTATAGATCCATATAGCACTACCTTTCGGCCACAACACCTATCGAACTCCAGCACCACCAACCTCACCTCACTCTTCCCAATATCCTTTTCCATAGTATTGGTCACCAATCTGTCCAAAACAACCACATTTACGGTGGCAGAGTCTGGTGGGAATGGTGGCAGAAAGGTGGTATTATGTTGATTTATAGTTGGCAGCTTGATAGGTTGTGAAAGTGGTGGTGGCTCGGAATTTATGATTTCTTTGTAATTTTTAAAAAATTTAAGGACTACGGTTGCAGTTGGTTATTCATCTTTTCTTTTTGTTTTATTTGAATAGGAAGGTAAAATCGTCATTTTATTGAAAAAATGGATGAGAATGACCTTTTTCGCAATGAAAGGTGAAAAGTAAGGGTGAAAATGTAAAAAAATTAAAGGTAGGAACGTTTTACACAATAACATTGAAAGGTAGGGACCTTTTGTGCTAATTATACCAAAAAATGAAAGGTAAGGACATTTTGCACAATAATATTGAAAGGTAGGGACCTTTTGTGCTAATTACCTTTTGATTTAACGGAACATTTTAACGGGGAGTTGACAGAAGGACGTTTTGCTCAAAAAAAGGTAAAGGTGAGGGTGTAATCTGTTAAAAAACGAAAGGTAGGAACGTTTTACACAAAAACATCGAAAGATATGGACGTTTTGTGCTAATTAACCTTTGTGAAAATGTAGAATGGCAATTGTAGATTAATTATATTTAATAGTATTACTCTTATGGGTAATTAACACAAAGTATCCGTACTTTTCAATGTTATTATTCAAAACGTCTCACCTTTTAATTTTTTGCATTTTTACCTCATATTTTCACCTTTTATTGTTGAGAAGGTCATTTTCATCAAACTTCTCAATAAAAAAAAATGTAAAATAACAAATATACGCTCATATTTAAATAAAATAAAAAAAGAAAAGAAAAATTAAAAAACAAATTGCATTATACTCTTAAACTTTTAAAAAAATTGTTCATGACTCCAAATAAATTATTAAAAGGGTAATTAACACAAAACGTTTATACCTTTCAATATTATTATGCAAAACGTCGATATCTTACATTTTTTGATATTTTCACTCTTATTTTTGCATTGCATTGCAATTATACTCTTAAACTTTTTTAAAAACTGTACATAAGTCCAAATAAATTATTAAAAGGTAATTATCATAAAACATTCATACCTTTCAATATTATTGTGCAAAACGTCCATGCCTTTCATTTTTTGACATTTTTACTCTTCATTTCATATTGCATTGCTAAAATCATCATTTTCATCCATTTTTTTAGTTAAAAGCTATAAAATGATGAATATACCATCTTATTTAAATAAAATAAAAATAGAGAACAAATTGTAACTACACTCTTAGAATTTTCAAAAAAATACAAATAAATTCTAAATAAATAATTATAAATTAATTTGTTCTTTAATGTTTCTTTTCTTTTTCCTTTTTTTAAATTTAAATAGGAGGTTACATTTGTCATTTTACAATCTTTATTAAGAAATTGGAGGAAATGACATTTTGCCGCAATGAAAGGTGAAAATAGGATTAAAAATGTCAAAAAATGAAAGATAAAGATGTTTTGCACAATAACATTGAAAAGTCTACTCTTATTATTATTATTACTACTACTACTACTACTACTACTACTACTATGATCTGGTTTCCCAATAAATAAGTCGTAAATATTATTTTTGAAGTGAGAAGTTAAAAATCAGGGATGAATGTAATTTCCACATCCTTGAATCTACAAATAGGCCCATGTTTGGGGATTAACGTGTATGCACGTGCAAAAGAGAGGCAGCCATTCTTGCAATTGAGAGCTTTGCTTGGTGTCTTCTTCTCTCCCTTCGTGATATTGCAGAACTTATTGATCCTTTGTGGGTTAATTTTATTGGGCAACCCTAGTGGGTTTAGATTCGGGTCAAGAAATCAATTAGTTGACGTTGGATTTGGTGTTTAAATTGAGTCCGGGATTGCACAATTGAAGATTTTGGTGTTAATTTCTGCAACAGAGAAAATTCTATTACAAAAATATAAATTTCATGGGAGGTTTATGTAACTTTCAAAATGAGAGAAGATATTCACTAATTGTTATTATGTGAATTCAGAGCTTCTGCTTCACCACATTGCTTAGTACGAGCTTTGACATCTTTTGCGCAACTCTCCTTCGAGTCAAGTTGAATAAACTCAGCAACTACAATTTAGCCTAGCCAACCTCTATGCTTAACCTGGACTTGGTGAACGTGCCCAATCTTATTGGTACTTGTACATTCTACTATTGTCATGTTTCAAACATGAATTAAGCCCTTGAACATGCCCCTTTGCAAAGGGTCTGTACAGGAGTTCTCACATGAGGGTGGACCCCACATGTGGACCTCGTGTGTGCACCTGTACAGACCCTGTGCAAAAGGATCTGTGCAGGTAGCACAGCTAAGAATGTGCAATTTTCGAACATTAAGGTTTGTTACTACAAGTCAAATTACAGATGGTGAACACTATCATCACATGATTCACATTAAGATCTAATTTTTCACCATGTATTGAAAAAAAAAATAGATTCTAACTCCTCAAAATATAATTTACATTGGTAAGTTCGTGCACGCACATGCACACACAAATACAACATGTACAAGATATCACGTGTAATGAACTACTTTTCAGTTCCAAGAAAATCACCAGATAAGCAATGCCATTAAAACTTCGTCACAAACCTGCATATAAAATTTTAAGGGCAAGTTCCTCTCTCAAAGCAAGACTCACAAAGTCTATTAAAGATTCTTTGCTCAGAAATATGAATATAACAAGAAGAAAGTCATCAAAGAGATTATCTTATGGAATTTGTCACCCGAGTACTTTCGCGAAAAAGCCTAAGTTCCTGCTCAGTTCTGATATGATGTTGGAGCTCTAGCATTTCAAACCAAGATGCACAGTACACTAGTCATATTTTGTTGTTTTGTTAGAAGTTTCGTGCTTTAACAGATTAAACACTGGGCAGTATGCATGGTTGCGGATAATATTAATAAGAACATAAGTATTACTAGCCAAGAACAGTAAACTAGCCATCCATAGCTGAATGAAAACATTTTTGCCTCGAAATTCCAGCAAGTAGGCCCACATTAACCAATGACTTTGAGCTCCCATCCACAAAAAGATGCAGGCCAAGCCTTTCCACTTCAGATTCATATTGCTCCATGGTAGTATTAGAGGCAGCAGGCAGAAGAACCAAACAAAGTATTGTGCAGTTATAACCTGTAACAAGATTAAGCAGAGTATGATGCAATCTATAAAGCCTAAATAATTCTCTAATAATATTTTACTTGGATAGAGTAAAAATAAGAATAAGAATAAGAGGATAAAAGGTTAATCGTTTTTATATACCTTGTTGAATGCTACAAATGCCACCGTTTGCACAAAGAAACAGAATGGCAAGTCATATGCAAAGCGAAAGACAAGAACTAGCTGCACAATGAACTGAGGCAGAAAGGATATGAGCTTTTCCAGGCTTGAAAACTCTTGTTCAAAGTGGAGATATATGTGGTAAAAGTACATTGAAAAGTTGTGTCTTGGGTCTGTGCGTGTGAGATGGTATAGCAGTGCCTCGTCCAAGAAATCCCATCCATAAAAGTAGAAACACAATCCAGTCAAGATGAAGAAGATTGATCCAGAAACAATCCCAAACACGAGTCTCCTCCAAGTAAAAATGCTTGCTAAAAGGATCCGAATACCTTGTAAACCATTAATTCTCATGTAGCTTGAGCCCTGGACTGACTTTGATTTTCTTGAGCTCCAGTCCACAAGGGCAGGCTTCTTACCAGGCTGGAAGTGCAGAGGATGAAGAACTAAGATGATAGGAAGTGCGTATATTATAGGATATATTCTCAGGTGAACAACAAGCCCATACCATAATGCAGCTTGCAACAGCCAGTCTGCACTCCAAGATAATGGAGGACATGTTAAAATGCCAATTTTTTATCCAAGTTCACACAGGTAAAGACCAAAAAATGAATGAAGAATGAGATTTTTGCCTTGAAGTGAAGGTGCATGCCCAAGAAATAGAGATACCTTAGAGCCTTAAAATTTTCAAACAAGCTAGTTACACATAATAGTCTTTATCCGGTGATAGTTATACATAATTTAAATACAGAGACGTAAATTAATTCCTCTTACAGACAACTAAACTATCCAAGTTCCAAATTACATGGTATAAGAAGATTGATGCTATTTTATGCTACTTCGTAGTTCATGCAGTTCTATACTTTTTCTGCATATTTGTTTTTAAGTTTTTTGCTTTTAGTTTTATAATTTTATGCTTGAAGGTTTAAGCTGTACACTGCACTTGCATACTGCGGCCAGTCACGGGATCCAATAAAATGGTTCTAACATATTAGAGGAAAGTGAAATCCAGAATATGGGTGTGACCATGATCGCATGCAATCATTTATGATTTAGGGCAAGAATGCATAAGAAAACATTCCTATAATAGCAGTGGAAGATTGAAAATCAGTGCTGGACTTTTAGGAATTTCAACAGTAGAAAATTCACAATACTGACGGACACACCGGGTCCATCTGCATGTAAAACACAATATTCATACCAAACATATTTTCCTTCTAGAGGTGCTTATGCATTCAATGCACGCCCTTTCTTTGGTTCAAGTAATATAATGAAGTTGCCAATTCAACATTTAATGGTACCTTAAAAAACTTGGCAGATAGTTTGCCTTTTTACATCAGCACACAATCTAGTCAAATTATATTTCTGTCTATGCAACTGCTGAATTTACGTAACATGGAGACTTGTGGAAATAGATACTAGATTAACCGGCGAATAATTACAAGAAAGATTCTACTAACAAGAAAATCAAATTCAATAGAAAGTATACCGTTCATCAGACAGATAATGATCCACAGAATCATGGCACAGACAATAGGCTCACAGTTCCCACGGGTTCCAATGGTGAAGGTGAAGGGATTAAAAAGCCATACCATTGTAGAGAAGGTGCATAGTTTCTCAGGCACCCCTCGTAGCTTCAAAATGCTATGTATAAGCAATCCTACAAGTAGATCTGTCAAGTGAATTCAGCATAAAACTATTAATATCTGAAAATCCAAAATGTACAGTAATTCAGTTGAATAGAATTTTAAAGGAACGATATAAAAGTGATATGGTGTTACAATCCAATTTTTATAGTAAAAAATTCAAATATTGACTAGTCAAGGTCAAAGTCAATCAAGGACTAAAATGAAATTAAATATTTTATTTGAGTTATTTTGCAATTGGCAAAATATAAAGGTTGAATTGGATATATTTAAAAGTTTGGAATTTATATATATACTTTTGGAAGTTAAAGGATTAAATGTTACTAAAAAATGAAGTTAAGGGATTTATTGTGCAAATTTTAAGTTTTGGACTACATATTCAAACCTTTGACCCAATTTTCACCCTATTTCACACACACACAGAGTAAACATACGGGAAGAAGCAGAGACCAAGAAAGAAGGAGAAAAAGAGGAAAAGAAGAAGGGAAAAAGGAAAAGAAAAAGGAAAAGAAGAAGGGAAAAAGGAGAAAAGGAGGTAAGATTGATATCTTCAAGTTGGGTTGAAATTTTCCATTTGTTTTAGGTGATAAAGTATGAATTATGTTAAAAATTTTAGGGTTTTAACTTGTTAAATAATATGTCGAATTTTAGGGACATTTGCACGAATTGGAGCTCAAGTGTGGGGATTTATTCATTGCAAATTTTCAGCAAGGTATGGAGATGTCAAATTTTTGGGAAAACCCTAGAATCCGATTTTGGGGATTTTAATTAATTAATTGTGAAGTGATTATGTAAATGAAATATTTCACTTGGGAATTGATTTTATGGAACAAATGTATATTATGTGGGTGGAATTGTGGTTACTAGTTTCATTAGATTGGAGAGTAAAATTAGTTTTAAATTTGAAATGATGGTTATGTTGATAAATTAGTGATTAACCAAGGGATTATAAGGTGTGATTAGCTCCAATTAATAAAGGAAAATTTGAGAATTTATTTAAGTACCAAGAGCATTCAAATTAAGTTCTATTATTAGATATTAAGGTTTCTCGATTTGATAGTGGATAAATTGGTTATCATTATCGTATTTCAGGAGGTAACGAGGCGATTGGAAACGTCTATCAGCCTATCTAGCTTGTAGCTCATATCTTGTGAGTGGATAAAACTTATTTTTCAGAAATAAGTCTTCATTAAATTTTAAAAGTTATTTATTGTATAAAGTTGACTTCATAGCATGATTTTTAGAATAAAATGGATTTTATTATCAATTGCTTTTAAAGTTAAATTCAGTTCAATTAAATCATTTGACTAGCATGTTATATGAATATAAATGTTTCAGTATAACTAAAGTTATTTTAAAACCATCAGAAAGTACCCAGGTGATTTTATCCCAGTCTACACTGATGTGAATGTGTTTCCACAGTGTATGACTAGTTACAGTAATTTTACCCGCTTTGCACTATTGTGAATGTGTTTCCATAGTGTATTACCAGATTATCAGAGGTTTTTGGGATCCACTCTCGTACACACATAGGCTTTGGGTCGTGTACTAGGGTGATTAGCCTTTGAGGCAACTCTGCGTACGTATGACCAGATTATCAGATTTGAATGACCTTGCCTTGTACATCGAGATTACTCTGTACATGAGTAAGGCTATTCATTGGGTACTCTTTTTGATGTGATTTTTCAGTATTTATTCTATTATCAGATTTCAGATTATGGAATTTAGTTAATTCAGTTTTCAGAATAAAGCTTTCAGCTTATAGTATTAAGGCAGCAATATTTCATAATTTTTCATGGATATCAGAGTATTTATAGTCATTATGTTATACAGTTGCCTTTCTAGAATTATGTCCAAGAAATTATGATATGATCATGTTTAGTTTTTAAAAGTGTTACTATTTTTCAGAAGTTCTTAACGTTAAATAGTGCAAGAATTTTCAGAAAATAACATAAATGGAAAAGTTTATTTATTTTCAACTATCCACTCACTGAATTATAAACTCATATCTTTTTTACCATATTTTCCTATCAGGAGAAGGTCAATTTTGAGATATTTGGGAAAACCTGCTGAAGCAAAAGAGACCGTTTCATAAGTATGTAATGAATAGTTGGGGAACTTATGTTTATTAAGTAATTGTCTAATTTTGGGTGACAAGCATATTCGTAGAAGGGTTTGTAAGTTATGTAATACTTGCATGTTGACAGGATGATGTTGTAGAAGCACTCAGTCAAATTTTGTTATATTTTGTAGTAGTTGTGGTGGTATTAGAGGAAGTGGTGGTTTCCAAAACTTTTAGTTTAAATGTCTATTTGAGATTTTGATGATTTTTCAGGTTGGTTTTGTCCATGTTATAGGGGAAACTCTGTCAAAATTTTCATAGAAATTAGCACAGTCAAAATAGGTCAAGTTTGCCTTGGTGGTGGGTCCGGCATTTAGCTCACATCTACTACCGACACACGACACGTGTCGAGTCAATTAGGTTGAGCCGGGACGGGTCGTGTCAATTGGTATCAGAGCATGGTCTTAGAGTTTATGAGTAGCATTGCATGTATCTGATGTTGGTGTGTTACACATTATTGTAGGTAAGTCATGCGTGGTAGAGGCAGAACTCGCAGGCACCAAAATCCAGTATCTCAAGCTCCAAATACTCCTGAAGAAAGACATGTTGGAGGGGTCAGTGGGGCTGCTGAATCAGTGCACCAGTCTCAGGTGCAACCTGACCCCAGCACTGATAGAATAGCTGCAGCTATTGCTTCCCTTCTACCAAATACTGATAGAGATAATTCTATAGAGAGAGCGATGAAACTTGGAGCAAAATTTTTTATGGGTACATCTAATCCAGCTGATGCCGAACTTTGGATGAAGACTTTGGAAAGCATATTTGATGTGATAGAATGCTCCGAGGATAAAAAATTACGCATTGCTGTATTTTTATTGAAAGGGAGAGCTGCTGATTGGTGGATTTCGTTTCGAAGTCGGTATCCAGATCCTAGTGTTATCACCTGGACTATTTTCAAGGAAGCTTTCTTTGAGACATATTATCCACCATTTTATCGCGACGCAAAGCAAAACGAATTTTTAAGATTGGTTCAGGGGTCCATGACAGTTGCTGAATATCATGCAAAGTTTGTTGAACTGTCTAAGTATGCAAGTGCTTTGGTTGCTGACGAGAGAGAGGTGTAGACGGTTCGAGCAAAGGTTGAGAGCTGAAATTCGACCTATGGTTACTGCTCATGGGCATCAAAATTTTGGTTTGTTGGTTGAGGCGGCATTCAGAGTTGAGACAGCTATTCGTGAAGGAAGTAATCAAGGAGCACAGGTGACCTTTCGAGGTGGTAGTAGTCAATCAGGAGCTTCAAGAGAAAGGTTCAAGAAGAACATAAAAGGATTTTGGTCAGGTGCCACTAAATCTGGCAATTTTAAATCTAAGTCTGGGAGTTCTAGCTCTAGTCAAGGATCAAGACATAGCCAGAGTTTTGGACAGCAGTCAGTGGGAAGCCATTCTTTTGTACAGGGTCCTTCACAGAGAATTCAAGGAGCGAGACATATTGAGGTTTCTGATCATAGGAGCTTTCCACAGTGCCAGTCTTGTGGGAAGTTTCATCCAGGCGAGCGTCTTCGAGGGGTTGGAGTTTGTTATCAGTGTGGTCAGATGGGACACATAAGGAAGGATTGTCCAGCAAGATCTCAGCAGATTGGAACATCTCAGATAGTATCTCCTCAGCCAAGGATCGGTATGACCAGACAGAACAGGGATCAAAGAGCTCCATCAGCAAGGTCGATGGGGAACACACAATCTAATTCTGCTAGGGGTAGTGCTTCTAGACAGGGAGCCCAGGCAGGTCGATCCAGGACTTAGGGCAAGGTGTTTGCTATGACACAGCAGGAGGCAGAGGAGTCACCAGATGTGGTAGTGGGTATGTTATCTATTTTTGGTAGAAAAGCTCGTTCTTTAATTGATTCGGGTGCCACGCATTCCTTTATTTCTCCCACACTTGCTAGCTATGCTGATCAAATGTCAGAGCCTTTAGATAATGAATTGGTAGTAGTGACTCCAGTAGGGGACTCACTTTTAGCAAATCGTGTATATAAAGATTGTGGGATTGAGTGAACAATCATGAGTTGAAAGCAGATTTAATTCCTCTTGACATTCATGATTTTGATGTTATTTTGGGGATGAATTTTCTATCTAATCACCGTGCTTTGGTTGATTGTTTTCGCAAGGAAGTGATATTTAGAAGCCCAGGAGAGCTTGAAATTGTTCTCACTGGAGAGCGCAGAATTTTGTCATCCTGTGTAATATCGGTCCTAGATGCTCGCAGACTGCTCAAAAAGGGTTGTGATGCATATTTGGCCCATGTAATTGATACTCAGATTACAAAGCGGGCAATTGATGATATATCAGTTGTGCGAGATTTTTCCGATGTCTTTCTAGAAGATCTTCCGGGATTGCCTCCAGACAGGGAGATAGAATTTTGTATTGATTTGATTCCCGGGACAATACCTATTTCACAGGCACCTTACAGAATGGCTCCAACAGAGCTAAAGGAATTGAAAGTTCAGTTGCAGGATTTAGTTGATAAGGGTTTTATTAGACCCAGTGTATCTCCGTGGGGAGTTCCAGTCTTATTTGTTAAGAAGAATGATGGCACAATGAGATTATGTATTGACTACAGACAGTTGAATAAAGTGACAATCCGCAACAAGTATCCGTTGCCTCGCATTGATGATTTGTTTGACCAACTTAGAGGTGCCTCAGTATTTTCAAAGATCGATTTACGTTCAGGTTATCATTAGCTCAGAATTAGAGACGTTGATGTACCAAAGACTGCTTTTCGGTCTCGGTATGGTCATTATGAATTTTTGGTGATGCCGTTTGGATTAACTAATGTCCCAACTGCATTTATGGATTTGATGAATAGGGTGCTTCACCCCTATTTAGATAAGTTTGTGATTGTTTTTATTGATGATATCTTAGTTTACTCTCGCAGTAGAGATGAGCATGCTGAGCATATGAGGATTATTTTGCAGACTTTGCGAGATAAGGAGTTGTATGCTAAGTTCAGCAAATGTGAATTTTGGTTGGACAAAGTTGTGTTTCTGGGTCATGTCATCTCAGCAGAAGGCATTTATGTAGATCCTCAGAAAATTGAGGCAGTTATGAGATGGGAACGCCCTACTAATGTTACAGAAGTACGGAGTTTCCTTGGCCTAGCAGGTTATTATCGTCGATTTGTAGAGAATTTTTTCAAAATTGCTCTTCCTTTGACTAGTTTGACTCGGAAGAACACGAAATTTGTGTGGAATGAGGAATGAGGAATGTGAAAAGAGTTTTCTAGAGTTGAAGAAAAGATTGACTTCTGCTCCTATACTTACTCTTCCATCTCCGGGTGAAAAGTTTGTGATTTATAGTGATGCTTCACGCCAAGGATTGGGTTGTGTTTTAATGCAAAATGGGAAAGTTGTAGCTTATGCTTCAAGACAATTGAAGAATCATGAGTTAAACTACCCAACGCATGATTTGGAGTTAGCTGCAATAGTGTTGGCATTGAAGATTTTGAAGCATTATCTTTATGGTGAGAAATGTCAAATATTTACTGATCACAAAAGTTTGAAGTATATTTTTGATCAGAAGGAACTGAATTTGAGGCAGAGAAGATGGTTGGAGTTGATTAAGGATTATGATTGTAAGATTGATTATCATCCAGGGAAAGCTAATGTGGTTGCAGATGCTCTCAGTAGAAAGACTAGTTCTTCCTCTTCAGCTAGTGCAGTTTATGCTTCTTTGATTTGTGAATTCAAGAAATTGCATGCTCATTTGTCAGCTACTACTTCAGGTGCTGCATTAGCTAATTTTCAAGTGAAGCCTACTTTGATTGATAAGGTTAGAGAAGCTCAATCTCAAGACCAGACATTGAGAATATTGAAAGCAGAAGTTAGTACTGGGTTAAGAACGGATTATGTGATTAGAGATGATGGGGCGTTGGCTATGGGTAATAGATTATGTGTTCCAGATATTCCAGAATTGAAGAAAGAGATTTTGGAAGAGGCACACAGTTCTACTTATGCTATGCATCCAAGTAGTATTAAAATGTATCATACATTGAAAGATCATTATTGGTGGCTTGGTATGAAGAAAGAGATAACAGATTTTGTATCCAAATGCCTTATATGTCAGCAGGTAAAACCTGTTCGTCAGAAAACACCAGGACTTTTACAACCATTGCCTATTCCAGAGTGGAAATGGGAACACATTACTATGGACTTTTTATTTGGTCTTCCTCGTACTCAAAACGGTCATGATGGAGTTTGGGTGATTGTAGATCGTTTGACCAAAACTGCCAAGTTCTTGCCGATCAAAGCCACTTATACTTTAAATAAGTTGGCAAAGTTGTATGTGGATGAGATAGTGAGCTCATATGGTACTCCATTATCTATTGTGTCTGATAGAGACCCTCGTTTTACATCTAAATTTTGGCCCAGTTTACAAGAAGCCATGGGTACTAAATTACATTTCAGTACAGCTTTTCATCCTCAGACATATGGCCAATCAGAGAGGACCATACAGACTCTTGAGGATATGTTGAGGGCATGTGTTTTAGAGTTCAAATGTAGTTGAGATTCACATTTGTCATTGATGGAATTTGCTTACAATAACAGCTACCACTCCAGAATAGAAATGGCTCCTTTTGAAGCTTTATATGGTCGAAAGTGCAGAACACCGGTTTGTTGGGATGAAGCTAGTAAGAGGAAGTTAATAGGCCCTGAATTGGTTCAAATAACGTCCGAAAATGTGAATTTGATCAAGGAAAATTTGAAAATAGCTCAGAATAGACAGAAAAGTTATGCGGATAGGCGCAGGAAAGATCTTGAATTTGCAATAGGAGATAAAGTTTTTCTTAAATTATCTCCTTGGAAAGGGGTATTGAGATTTGGTAAGCGAGGAAAGTTGAGTCCACGATATATTGGACCATATGAGATTATTGAACGGATTAGCCCAGTAGCATATCGATTAGATCTGCCAACAAAATTATCTCGGATCCATGATGTTTTCCATGTCTCTATGCTTCGCAAGTACATTGCAGATCCTTCTCATGTTCTAGAATCTCATCCAGTCCATTTGAAGGAGAATTTAACTAATACAGAGGAGCCAGTGAGAATTCTAGACAGGAAGGTGCAAATTCAGCGGAACAAGACAGTTTCATTTGTTAAGATACTTTGGCAGAATCAGACAGTAGAAGAGGCTACGTGGGAGAATGAGAATCTGATGCGTGCTCAATATCCTCACTTATTCATTAACCAGTCAGTTACCAGTTGAATTTCGAGGACGAAATTCTTTTAAGGAGGTAAGATTGTTACAATCCAATTTTTATAGTCAAAAATTCAAATATTGACTACTCAAGGTCAAAGTCAATCAATGATTAAAATGAAATTAAATATTTTATTTGGGTTATTTTGCAATTGGCAAAATATAAAGGTTGAATTGGATATATTTAAAAGTTTGGAATTTATATATATACTTTTGGAAGTTAAAGGATTAAATGTTACTAAAAAGTGAAGTTAAGGGATTTTTGTGCAAATTTTGGGTTTTGGACTACATATTCAAACTTTTGATCCAATTTTCACCCTATTTCACACACACACACAGAGTAAACATACGGGAAGAAGCAGAGATCGAGAAAGAAGGAGAAAAAGAGGAAAAGAAGAAGGGAAAAAGAAGAGGAAAGGAGGTAAGGTTGATATCTTCAAGTTGGGTTGAAATTTTCCATTTGTTTTAGGTGATAAAGTATGAATTAAGTTAACTCTTGGAATTGGTCAAATACCTAGCGACAAACTCCTATGTTCCTTTCATTACGGTATTTCCGAACAAGTTCCCCAGAGCAAGTTCGCCACCAACCGTAGCAGCACCATCTGCTAAAATTTGTCCCTTTTTAATACATTTACCCCGTCTAGGAGTAGTATTACTTCCCAATCCAATTTATTCGGCCTTTTCGTTGGGATTTGGTCTAACATTCTTGCCAATACATTATCTTCATTTTGCTCCGGATTGTAAAAAAACCAAACTCTGCCTTACGTAAAGTTGCCAGAGTACGATTAACCTCTGGATTTGAAATCACTGCTTATATACCCGGTTGAACTTAATTCATACTTTATCACTTAAAACAAATGGAAAATTTCAACCCAACTTGAAGATATCAACCTTACCTCCTTTCCTCTTCTTTTTCCCTTCTTCTTTTCCTCTTTTTCTCCTTCTTTCTCGGTCTCTGCTTCTTCCCGTATGTTTACTCTGTGTGTGTGTGAAATAGGGTAAAAATTGGGTCAAAGGTTTGAATATGTAGTCTAAAACCCAAAATTTGCACAATAAATCCCTTAACTTCACTTTTTAGTAACATTTAATCCTTTAACTTCCAAAAGTATATATATAAATTCCAAACTTTTAAATATATCCAATTCAACCTTTATATTTTGCCAATTGCAAAATAACCCAAATAAAATATTTAATTTCATTTTAGTCCTTGATTGACTTTGACCTTGACTAGTCAATATTTGAATTTTTGACTATAAAAATTGGATTGTAGTTATCTTACCTCCTTAAAAGAATTTCGTCCTCGAAATTCAACTGATAACTGACTGGTTAATGAATAAGTGAGGATATTGAGCACGCATCAGATCCTCATTATCCCACGTAGCCTCTTCTACTGTCTGATTCTGCCAAAATATCTTAACAAATAAAACTGTCTTGTTCCGCTGAATTTGCACCTTCCTGTCTAGAATTCTCACTGGCTCCTCTGTATAAGTTAAATTCTCCTTCAAATGGACTGGATGAGATTCTAGAACATGAGAAGGATCTGCAATGTACTTGCGAAGCATAGAGACATGGAAAACATCATGGATCCAAGATAATTCTGTTGGCAGATCTAATCGATATGCTACTGGGCCAATCCGTTCAATAATCTCGTATGGTCCAATATAACGTGGACTCAACTTTCCTCGCTTACCAAATCTCAATACCCCCTTTCCAAGGAGATAATTTAAGAAAAACTTTATCTCCTATTGCAAATTCAAGATCTTTCCTGCGTCTGTCTGTTCTGAGCTATTTTCAAATTTTTCTAAAATTTTTAGGGTTTTAACTTGTTGAATAATATGTCAAATTTTAGGGATATTTGCACGAATTGGAGCTCAAGTGTGGGGATTTATTCATTTCAAATTTTCAGCAAGGTATGGAGATGTCAAATTTTTGGGAAAACCCTAGAATCCGATTTTGGGGATTTTAATTAATTAATTGTGAAGTGATTATGTAAATGAAATATTTCACTTGGGAATTGATTTTATGGAACAAATGTATATTATGTGGGTGGAATTGTGGTTACTAGTTTCATTAGATTGGAGAGTAAAATTAGTTTTAAATTTGAAATGATGGTTATGTTGATAAATTAGTGATTAACCAAGGGATTATAGGGTGTGATTAGCTCCAATTAATAAAGGAAAATTTGAGAATTTATTTAAGTACCAAGAGCATTTAAATTAAGTTCTATTATTAGTTATTAAGGTTTCTCGATTTGATAGTGGATAAATTGGTTATCATTATCGTATTTCAGGAGGTAACGAGGCGATTGGAAACGTCTATCAGCCTATCTAGCTTGTAGCTCATACCTCGTGAGTGGATAAAACTTATTTTTCAGAAATAAGTCTTCATTAAATTTTAAAAGTTATTTATTGTATAAAGTTGACTTCATAGCATGATTTTTAGAATAAAATGGATTTTATTATCAATTGTTTTTAAAGTTAAATTCAGTTCAATTAAATCATTTGACTAGCATGTTATATGAATATAAATGTTTCAGTATAGCTAAAGTTATTTTAAAACCATCAGAAAGTACCCAGGTGATTTTATCCCAGTCTACACTGATGTGAATGTGTTTCCACAGTGTATGACTAGTTACAGTGATTTTACCCGCTCTGCACTATTGTGAATGTGTTTCCATAGTGTATGACCAAATTATCAGAGGTCTTTGGGACCCACTCTCGTACACACATAGGCTTTGGGCCATGTACTAGGGTGATTAGCCTTTGGGTCAGCTCTGCGTACGTATGACCAGATTATCATATTTGAATGGCTTTGCCTTGTACATAGAAATTACTCTGTACATGAGTAAAGCTATTCATTGGGTACTTTTTTTGGTGTGATTTTTCAGTATTTATTCTATTATCAGATTTCAGATTATGGAATTCAATTAATTCAGTTTTCAGAATAAAGCTTTTAGCTTATAGTATTAAGGCAGCAATATTTCATAATTTTTCATGGATATCAGAGTATTTATAGTCATTATGTTATACAGTTGCCTTTCTAGAATTATGTCCAAGAAATTATGATATGATCATGTTTAGTTTTTAAAAGTGTTACTATTTTTCAGAAGTTCTTAACGTTAAATAGTGCAAGAATTTTCAGAAAATAGCATAAATGGAAAAGTTTATTTATTTTCAACTATCCACTCACTGAGTTATAAACTCATATCTTTTTTACCATGTTTTCCTATCAGGAGAAGGTCGATTTTGAGATATTTGGGAAAGCCTGCTGAAGCAAAAAAGACCGTTTCATAAGTATGTAATGAATAGTTGGGGAACTTATGTTTATTAAGTAATTGTCTAATTTTGGGTGACAAGCATATTCGTAGAAGGGTTTGTAAGTGATGTAATACTTGCATGTTGACAGGATGATGTTGTAGAAGCACTCAGTCGAATTTTGTTATATTTTGTAGTAGTTGTGGTGGTATTAGAGGAAGTGGTGGTTTCCAAAACTTTTGGTTTAAATGTTTATTTGAGATTTTGATGATTTTTCAGGTTGGTTTTGTCCATGTTACAGGGGAAACTCTGTCAAAATTTTCATAGAAATTAGCACAGTCAAAATAGGTCAAATTTGCCTTGGTGGTGGGTCCGGCATTTAGCTCACATCTACTACCGGCGCACGACACGTGTCGAGTCAATTAGGTTGAGTCGGGACGGATCGTGTCATATGGAATATTACACACACTCGTAAAGAAGAAGAGAAGTCATGGATTAAGAAATAGATGCCCTAACATAGCCCAAACCAGAAATTCTTTCAACTATTTTTTTTCCCCTTTGCATCAGAGAAGCTATCTACATGCTAGTAAAGTGTAGAGTTAATCCATTATTCTCTTTCTTTCCCTTTTCATGAAAATGTATGAAATTAGAGAAGTGTAGAGTTAATCCGTTACTCACTTTTTTCCCCTTTTCATGAAAACATATGAAACAGTTATTTTATAACAATTTGACGTACTTCAAAGTTTTTAGCACAGACTAAAGGCCAATAAACAACAGTATTCGCTGCAAATATTAGTATTAACTACGAGCCAAAAGTAAAACGGAGAGTCCAAAAACTGATCATAATAAAAGTTGTACTCCCATTATTCAAGTACAGGTGCAATGGCTTTTTGGTCGTCGAAATTTTCCTTAGCTCCAAAAAGATGATGAAAACTAATAGACAATATAGGACTCAACCAATATTAACTCCCAAGTTGACCATTTTCAGTGACTGGTCAAGAGATGATGAAAACATGGAAACTGAAGAGTTGATGGATAATAACTGAGTACAATGTAATGAATGAAAAATTATGCTCACTTTCTCCTTTCGATTTTCAGTTTAAGTTCGTTAAAGCTCAAAGAATAGTTCATATATACCCAGTTTTAAATAAACTATTTAACAATAATCCAGTTCTTTCACCACTTTAAAGATAACTGCACTTTGTTAATTAATCAACATGGTATACCTGAAGCTGAGAAGAGAAATTTTCCCCACAGGTGATGAAGAAATGAATTTGGCATGAGAAGAGCAGCAATCAATGGTGAATACCGATATGTTGATCTTTTGTAAGGTGATTTTCCAGATGCCATTAAGTCTGCAGCATCAGAAAAGACAAGATAGTCGACATCCGTGTATCTGACCTCCATATGAGCGTCTTGCCACTCCCCATACAATATTAAGAAGACTCGAAGAATTGCTGAGAAAATAAGAAGAAATCGAAAATTTATTTTGTCCATTGCCAATATTTTGATACTCTTAACAAACACTTTGGGTCAGACACGTAGTTGCTATTTCATATCCTGAATAGTACAATTGTCGGTCCAGCAACATAAAATTATCACAATCCATATGCCATGCTGACCGGATAATTACTGCAAAAGAAGAAAGTCCCAATGACACTATATATCAGCAAAGTCAGGACGAAAAAAATGTTGGAGAAACTATAGCAAAATGTGGTACATCTCTAACATCATTGTACATTCTACGTAAATTTATTTTTCCATTTGATTAAACTAAAAAAAATAAATTGTGATCCATGGTAGGAAATGAGTTTTACCAAAGGAGAGAGGCTTTATTGGCAATTCATGCATAGGAAATAACTCAAGAGAATATGGTATCGAAGCAAACAATTAATAACCGAATCTCAGATGAACAGACTGTCCAGTTCAACAAGCAACACCAAGCCAGTGTATGCTTTGGTTTATCCATTCCATTTTCGAACACATTGGTTAGGATTTTTTGTCTTCTGAATCCTATTTCAAACATCCAAACCATACAAGATGTAGTTATAGATAAATAATTATTTGGTTTGAATTTTATTCAATTTCTTGTCCTTTTCTTCTCATCCATGACTAAATAGTCAACAACACTGCCACCAACTTCACCACTCCCACAGCCACTACACCATCTCAACTTCAACATGTCCAACAATGCAAACTTACAAACGATTCCGCAGAGCCGTATATGACCACAACGATTAAATTTTAGTTCATTTGAGCAGGAAGAAAAAAAGTATGATCTTTGGTTATACACGGCCAAAGATTGAACTGCAAATTTCGGCTGACGTCATTTTCTATCTTGTCTCCTATGGCCCCATCAATGTTTTGACGAATTTGGCTGATACACCCACAGAGATAAGCTCTGGATTTACAAATCACTCGTCTAACTTGTTTAGCACAATCGTGTGAACAACTCAAACACCAAAATATTTACAGGGAGAAAAGAGGGGAGTTACCAATATCCTAACGGGGCACCAAGAAGTTGCCATCACAAGAACAAGATAACATAAAAATCAAAGTTTGCAGGTAAATCAAGACTCAAGAGATACACAAGACCAGGAGAAACTGATGAAAAATAAAATAGATGAAAATGTAAACAAATACTTCTACACCTGAAAATTAACCTATTTCTGAATCAAAGTTGCCATATTCCTTATCCTTTAACAAGACGATTGTTGTAACTCATAAATAACAGCAGATTTCAAAATGTTAAAAAATCCATAACTGCAATCGTATTCCAAAATTGTCAAGACTTTCGAGAACAAAAGCAGAAATTTACCTAGAAAGCAAATTCAAAACGCTAGGAGTCGAGTGTTCTGGGCAGAAATGCTGGCGATGATGCGGATGATATCAGTGTTGAAACAGCAGATATTCGAAAGACATAGATGCATTTGAGGTCCGCAAGAACTGCGTCGTTTAATGGGCTGAATCTGACTGTCCAGCCCATGCTCTATGGTCCAGATTCCAGAAGGGACGGTTTTCCATCATTCTAATAATCTAGAGACTGTGCCTTTGTTTCAGCTCCATTTTTTGGAAAAGAATGAATTTTTGAATAGTGTATTGATGAAAAATATGTTGTTAAAAAATAAGCAAAAAATTTAAATTTACGTGTAATATTATTTTATTGAATAATGTATGGTTAAAATGATGTCAAAATATTGTTGAAAAATAAAATTTTTCAAAAGAATGGGGCTCAAACAAGGGCTGTATTTCACCTACCAGAATGTGCAGAGACTGATTTGCAGTGAACATGAGTTTCAGGGACCATCTTGGGGAAACCAGAAAGATCAGGGACTATTTGCAGCAAGAATAACTCAGGGTCCAGTCTGCAACATCCACGAAGTTCGGGGGGGGGGGCAAATATGCATAAATTTGAAGATTTAAGGACCGATTTTGAAGACTCCAGACATTTTAGGGACTAATTCCCTGACTCCAGATAATCCAGACATCCAATTTGATCAATCCGAAAATGCAGAGATCAACTTGTAGACTCCAGAATATTTAGGGCCAACATGTAGATGTATGGAATTTAAGGGACCAATTTGGGAAAACCAGAAAATTAGTGGAACACTTAGAATAATTCTGAAAATTCAGGGACATATCCGCACTGGGGTAATTCTGAGGGAGCAGAGAAATATATGGATGAAAAATGCAAAAGAATGGAGGCTTGGGGCTGATTGCGCTCAACTTTTGAGATGCGAAGAGAGTAGATAATAGAGGGTTCCAAAAATTCGACAGCAGAAATTCGACATCCATCTATGCATGAGTTTGTCCATCCATCTATGCATGAGTTTCAGATTGATAAGTTACCTTTCTATCGGGATTTGACTACAACAATTAGGGGATTCAGTAGGTAGAGATAGTAACTCTATACATTAATCATAAAAAAAATAATTTCGAAATCAATGATAATTACAACACGAGACATATGTGTGTATTCATTGTCATTAATTTGTACTCCACAGTCCACAGTCTCTGTATGGGTAATTTTCTTTGGAAAATGCTACACGGCCTGTATAGGCCCCCTCACATGCTGTGTGAGGGGGTGGGGGATTATTTAAAAAAAAATTACTCACCCCCCCCCCCCCCCCCCTTT